TAGTTGATTTACAGTGTTGTGTTAGTTTCAGGTGTACAGCAAAGTGATTCAATGATACATACACACATATATATTCTTTTTCAGATTCTTTTCATTATAGGTTATTGATGTCTTACTTTCTAGGACAAGGGAAAGAGGTGGCAGGCCCTGGCCATCCGTGTTCACTGAGCTTGGGAGGCAACTGCTTCACTGAGTAGGAATGTATGGAAGGCCTGCTTTGTGCCTTGAACTCTGGGACACTGGGTGCTGTGGGCAAAACTAAGGCAGAGAATGGAGACGCTGTCCTCAAGGGCTTGGCTGATGCACAGGATTGATCGGAGCCAGACATATAAAAATAGGGACCCATTTATGAGATGTGGAGAGTCCTCTACTAAATTGTGCAGAATTCAGAACACAGCTTCTATTTATTTTGTGCTCACTTTGCACTAGAGCCCAGGATAAATATTTCACTCACAGAATCTCTGATCTTTATACCAACCCTCCAGGGCAGCTCTGATTATTCTCATTTTGTGGATAGAAAAACTGAGGCTTAGAGAGGTTAAGTGGATCTGTCCTGGGTCACACAGCTGGTAACTGATAAGCCCACAATTCACATATAAATGTCTTCGCTCTAAAGGCAGCCCACCTCTGCTTAGGTGCCCTGGAAAGCAAGGCAGCCCGGGAGGCGGGGACCGAAAGCAGCAGGCTGGGCTGCTCGGCTGGCAGGCTGACACAGTGCCTTCTGCTGGGCTGTGCTCAGCCACCCTCCAGGGAAGAGGAGCCCCTCCCTCTGTTGTCCCTTGGTGACCCTGAAAGGCTGTGGACCCTCCTTTGTTTCTGCAGAATAGTCCTGCTGAATCATTCCAACTACATTGTGGCCAAACTACCTACCTTAACGCTATATTTTTATTTTTGTAGCTCTCAGTTATCTGGAAATAGCTCAGCTTTAATGCCAGTATTTAGAATGAGGTTTTTAAAGAAACCATTTAGTTTATCATTTAAACTGGGATTGTTCTGAGAGTGAAAGTGAACTGTGTTCATAATTACGCCAGAGCTATCCTGGGCACCCAGGGCTTATGGTCACCCTACCAGTATGGAATCAAGGGATATAGTTAACATGGAAACAAGGTCTATGTTATTCAGACAAGAAAATCTTCAGAATAGGGGCAGCTAAATGGAAATACAGCAATGGTTATCTCCTGTCTGATGTTAGGGCGGGAATGTGCACAACTGAAGTCCCTCAGCCTTCACCCACCCTGGACTAAGCCAAGGCAGCTCGGATTCACCATGTCAGAATGACATTGCTATGTGGGAACCACTTGCTTCCTGCCAAATACAGTGAATTTGGACTGTTCTAACTTACAGATATGAAAGAACTTCTTATTCTTGAAGATCTTTGAACATTTTTGCTTCAAATGTATAAACTGGACTGTAACAAGAAATGCTGGGGTGTCTTGTTATAGGTCATCTAACCAGAGACACTGCAACAATCTGGACAGCATTACATACTGCTGGTCTGGGGCCCCAAAAGTGGGGAGGTGAGGAGTGGAGAGGGAGAGAGGGAGTGAAGCAAGGAGGAGGGGAGGGAGGATGATCTAGATGGATTTAAGTAAAAAACAATTCCGGAAACATCTTCCAGTGTGACAGTGAACTTCTAGCCCAAGCTCCTCCTCTTTTCAATCCTTAATCCTCTTGTTATGTATCCTCTTTGGGCTGACAAATGGATATTGATTCGTGACAGCATCTGATCAAATGACATGTCGTCTTGTATTATGTCTGATAATAACGAAACAGAAAAATGCTTCTTGGATTAACTTGACAGTATCAATTTAGATAGTAACTTCTAGTCCTAAATCTTTCCGAGAATGACAGAAAATTCCCTTTGTCTAAAACATGAGTGCTTTTCATCACTAATGTCCCAAATAATGTTTGCTCTGAGACCAGGCTCCTCAATAATTTCCATCAGACTACTCCTAATGGGTGGAGGGGTGGGTTTTCAAAGAGATTCCCAATAAAGTCAGCATTTCTTTGAAGTCTTTCTATTATAAATGTATGCAGATTTACATTTTAGTGTACAAAGTAGCCATGTTGACTGTCAAATTTGTCAGCATATCTTTATCAAGAGTTATATGCAAAGAACATGTGCTGTTTTTATTCTGTGGTATCACATTACCTCTGGTATAACACCACATCCTTCATTTTAAGGGTGAGGGAATAAAACCCTCTCCACAGCACTGACCAGCAGGGAGGAGTTCACAGTTTTTGGAGTCAAAGATCTGGAGTTTTGATTGTAAAAGTCCAATAAGAACCTGGACATATTAATTTTATTTCAAAATCCTTTCCCCCCCAAATTCTCTAGAAGATCACAATTATAGTACCAGATAAACAAGTTACTCTGACCATGTTATTGCACACAATATTGACCCGCAGGGAGCCAGAGAAAGGAAACAAGGAGAGAAATATCATAACACAATTTTGGTACCAACCAAATAAAATCTTGAGTGACTCTTTTTTCCCCACGTGGGAAAAAAAATTGCCATTTTTTCCATTACCCCTAAATGGTCATTGGTTTTTACCAGAAGGATAATTTATAATTTGGAATTTCAGGGTATAGTTGGATTAAATAAAGTCACAAAATTTTTTCTGAGGACTCAACACTGAATTTTCCTGTCTTTTTTTTTTTTTTTTTAATGGAGAAGTGTTTGTCCTCCTCTGAAGTAAGAATAGATGGATATGAACTTTGGTAGTCATAGAGTAAACTTAAAAAACAAATGTACTTTAAAATTTTTTTCAAACTTTTCTTATGTTCTCATAAGAACACAATTAACCTCAGGATAAATCTGTCAGTATAATGTAGTTCTTCCCTATACATTATTGTCAGTTTGCTAAAAACAAAACAACAGCAAACAGAAAACAAAAAATGAATGATCTCCCTAAAACTGAAACAAAGCAATAAAACTGAAGATGTTCACAACATTAAAGGAAAAAAAACCAGTTTGATTTTAGAAAACGTTTGCCCATTTTCTTTAAATTTTAAGTACACATGTTGATGTAGATAATCAAATTTATCTTCCACAGTAGAATCCTTCTACATTTATTTTGTCACTGGAATTCAGTCTTGTTACAGAGAGATTGTGATCCTGAGAATGCCTAATATCATTTCTAACCATCTTCTCTGAAAATGACTGAGCACAAATGCTTTCTCTGGTATATCGGTGCCCTTCCTTCAATACCCAGACCTCTACTGGATCTCTTCCGTATCTTAGGCCTTGCGCTTGTTGGCAAATAGTTGATTTGCTGATACAAACTACTATATATAAAATAGATAAACAACAAGTTTCTGCTGTATAGCACAGGGAACTATATTCAGTATCTTGTACTCTATAATGGAAAATAATATGAAAAGGAATTTATGTGTGTTCATGTATGCCTGAAACATTGTGCTATACACCAGAAAGCAACCCAACCTTCTAAACGGACTATACTTCAATTTAAAAAAAAAAGAAAAGAAAAGAGAATAGATTGAAACATACTCCTTGTCTTCTGTTTTCACGGTCCAGAGAAGAGGCAGACAGATGAGGTGTGCTGGACCATGTTAGGTCAGCTTGACCAACTCTGGGAACTATGTTTCCCAGGACAACCTGGCCTGATTCCTTTTCCAAAAGGGAAAAAAAGAAAACAACTTGCGTGTGATTTGGCTGACAGAAAGGAAGCTGAATCCACTGCTCCCAGAAGGTCTTTGCTGTCAGCTCTGGTGATGGACAGAGTCATGGGCGCCTGGTGGGCTCCAGCTTGTTCTCTCCTCCATTCCTCATCCAGCTTGTCTTCAAAGAGTGGCCCCAGACCCGCCGCTCTGTGCTTGGCTGGGGACCCATCAAGCCTGCAGCTGTGCGGAGGCAGCTTCTTCCCTGGAGAGGAGCAGTTTCCAGAGCCTTCTCCATGAACGTTCCTTTTGTGGTCCCACTTTGGTGGCTTCTTGGATTTCTCTTTAAGCTTCCACTCCTATGCTGCAGGGAGTCTGACTAATGACTGCTCTTCTGACCCTCCAACTGCCCCATCCAGATCGT